AAAAAAAAAAAAAAAAAAAAAAAAAAAAAAGAATTTGGGATCAGAAGTTTGAGGACTAGGTCATTTAACAACTTGGGTGGAATACATCTCAGAACAAATACATGGTTACTCTTTGGGGATGAAGTTAATAATGACAAAACTGTTCTGTTTTATCACTGCATTAATGTGAGTCTCTTAGACTTACTATGCAAGACAACCTTGCTTAGAACCTGTGTGAATGGGGTCTGAAGGCTAACACCTGCTGTGATGTAGACTTTGATGGACATTTATTTCCTTATACTTTTTTTTTTAGTAGAGTTATTTGGTTCACTGAGTAACCAAAGGATTTCTGATCTCTTGCCCTAAATATTATATTCTTGTCCTGTTTGTGAATTTTTTATTCGCCTAGGCTCTCTTTTATCCCAGCAGTTCCTGAAAGAAGATGCGAATGAAAAGAAATGCTGATCCAACCTTCCCGTGACTATGAAAGAAGCCCTTACTACGAGGTGTAGTGTTCCAGTGGGGAGTGAGGTCGACTTCCTAGGATTCTTGGCACTCTTTCCAGTAATGAGCAGTTTGTCTCTTAGCCTTTGAACCGCTGCTCAGATTTAAAATTCCAGCCAGTGGAAAACCTTTGGAGGAAAAACAGAGTAGAAACAGTTGATGTTAGGAATCACTACAGTCTTAACTCATGCCTTCAAGCGTTTTTCAGTAATATTTCTTGAGGTACAATAGCGAATGACTATTAAAGAGCAGAAAGTTTAAAATACATCTAGTTAAATGCTTCCTTCTCGATTCAAACTTTTTCTCAGTGTCTGCCATCCCCTCCCCTGCAGTGGGAATGAAGGCTGTAAAAATGAAAATCCTCTCTAGCAACTTCTCTCTCCCAGGGGAATACAGCCCGAAGCTTTTTAGCTGGACCACTTCCTGGGCTTTGCCTCAGACCTTCGGAATCTTACAGGCAGGGAAGTAGCCTGCAAGGACTGCATTCCTGAAAGGGCCTCTTCCTCTCCCCTGCTCGACAGATCAAGAGCAGCCTTCACCACTGGATACTGACAACTCATGGGCTGGTAGCAGGGTATTGGCAATTAGTTTGAGAAGCGGCTGGAAGAAGGGCTGGCTCCTATCACTGCCACTGAGCATCTCTAGCAGGTTATTCCTTTTGGGGGTCTGGCACAGAGTAGGCCTGTGATGTTTGCTGGTAGATCTATTTACTGAGAGTTTTATATAACACAGTATCTGGAGCCTGGTTACAAGAAGCCTCCAGGCCTGTGTAATAAGTCATATTTCTGATTTATAGGATAAAGATGAGAATCAGCTCTGCCTTTTCCACCCATTTAGCACAAAGTCCGCCTTGATCCCAGGGCCCTGATTTCTTCCTATAACCTGGGATACGATCGGGTATCCCGACTCCAGTCATTCCCCTCGATGCCAAAGCAAGGCTCCTTCCAGTTTTTCTACTACTCAGAGGTGTGCTGAAAACCATGTGTTCTCACCTGCTTATTCTTTGACCTATTCTACTGCTCAAATCGTGGGGCAGGGCAGCAGCTGGGTACTTGTCTCAGAGGTTAAAAACCAACCCACAAATGACACACAGGTAAACAACATCTATACCCACTGCAAGTCTGTGTTCTTGCCACTCACAGCATGAAATTGTCTCTGAGGCATAGGATTTCCCGTGGCTGCTCCATGATTGATGCCTTCTTGAATCTAGGATACCATCCAAGTATTTCTCCAAGTTGATTCACACTATCTGTCTGTCTCTAGCTAGTCGCTGTATGATCCTGGCTTCGGGGGCATGATATTTGTGTAAGTGTTATAGCTCTTTTGTCTTTCCATGTCTGTTTGTCTGAGCCCCCAGGGTCTTTCTAAGTCTCCTGTCTCTCCTCTGAGGATACTCACACGCACACTTTCCCTGGGGGAGTCTGACTACTCAGGAAAGAACTATGATTGGGAGTGGGACAGCCCACTATGAAGAAAGCAAAAGCTCTGGTCTTCCTGAACGAGAGACTTGCAAAGAGTCTCCAGACACTATGGGCCCTGGAGATCAAGCTACGACTGTGCTAGTTGGAAGTCTTCCTCTCTGTGTCTCACCAGACCCCCAATCCCAGCGTAGCAGCTGAGGGTGGGAAGGGGAGTATGTGTACTAAAAACAGGAGCAGCAGCTGAAAGCCAATTGGCCTGTGGCAGATGTAGAAAAGGAAAGGCAAAGCCAGGGGACCCCAAAAGTGGTCTACAAGGTATTTTTGCTCCCCTTCCTTTGCTGGAACTGCATGTGCTGCTGTCTAGAACACACAATGAATCACAGAAGCACTCAGATGGAGAAGTCCCAAAGTGTTTTTGCCTTGTCTCCCCCCTCTAGTCTTTGGTTGATGAATGGAGACTTTTGCAGTGAGTTACTAGAAATGGAAGAGGAGAGCAGTTATTTGGTATCAGGCAACAAAGATGACCAGCAGGAAGTGAGCTCAGTGCTTGTGAGGTGAGGCAGAGGGGTGGGCGGGCAGTCATCGGGAAGAACTGTCACTGAGTCAAGGTCAACTGTGGACAAGTGGATGGAGGGCAGGAACATCCACACGCTTTTTTCTATGTTGGCTTTTCTTAAGCTATAGTCCTCATATTCTTCAGACAATTTCCAAGTTTTATTTCTGGTTTGGAAAAGGGTGAAAGTGCCTTGCCATCTGCATTTATCAGCTTGTGCCTCCCTCTCTCCCCCTCCCTGTGTGACCTACTTTAGAGACTAGAATGGCTTTTATTTTTAAGGCCATGGGAGAAATCACTAAAAGCAAAGATTCTGTTTCAGAAGCTGAGTCGAGATACATAGGATGCTATGCTGGGGTGCTTACTGCTCTATAATTTCTGTGGGTTTCTCCCCTCACCCCACTCTGTCTTCATAATGTCTTCTAAAAGGCGCTCCTAGGCCACACTGCTGAGAACAGCTGTAAAGATGTGTGTGGGCGTTTCTGGCGTGTAGGCTGGCCCAGCTGTCTGCTTCCCAACCTTTCACTCACCTCAGCAGCAGGCATCTGGCCTCCTAACATGGAGCTTGCAGCTCCTGGGGGCTCCTGAATGCCCTTCAGAAAAATGGAGACAGAGATGGGACAGTCTCCTACTAAGGCAGGAAAGAATCAATGAGAAGCAGAGGGTGAGTAGTACATCATCTTGAATGGTTAAGCAAGGACCCAAGCAAAGCAGTGTTCAAATGCACTCCTCCTCTGGTTTCCTGGAGACCTGTGTGAACAAGGGCCAGTGGATTTGATTCTGGAAAAGTCACCCACTACTTGGAAAGTCACTCACCTTTCTTGGTTTCTATGTATAGGGTGTTTTTCAAATTAAAGTATCCACTTACCTCACATTTGTAATTAGAAGATAAATTAATGTTTGGAGAGACGGTTCAATTTGATTTCTCAGTTCTTGCATAGGAGCTTTACTGCAACTCTAAATTTTTTGAGGAGCAGGAATCAGGAATCAAACTCAGGACCTCATGCTTGCCAGGCAGGCATGGTGCTGTTGAGCTACACCTTGACCCCTAAATTAGTATTTGTAAAGCAAAGCTAAAAAATTATTTTGTCAACAGTTCAGTTGTGGGTCCCATTAACTATTTAGAGTGATACCTAGAAAAACTCATTGTCAGATATACAAAGATGCAAGCAACAGAATCCTGGCCTTCAAGGTGATCACATTCTAGGTAGATGCAAAAGCAACACAGAAAATCTCCTAAAATCTGTCAGTAGGAGTAAGTAAGTGTGGTTGCATCTCTTGCTTCTCAAAGTATGGTACATTACCATTTGGGAGCTTAGTAAAAATGCAGAATAACAGGCCCCACTCCAGAACCACTGAACCTGCACTTTAACAAGATCCTCAAGTGATTGTTGTGCACATTAAAACTTAAAAAGCAGACTTTTCCCATTGATCAAGTGTGAATTTCCCAGCTTTGGGTCATGAGACACCTAGCTCCCCATTCCTTCCCTTGCTTGCTGCCTCCAGCCATGTGGTGCAGTCTGCAGTTGGAGGAACATTCCTGTAGGCTTCTGGGCCTTTTCCAACGTCACTGAGGATGGTGATGGTAAGGTTTAGAGATGATTCTTAGAGCTATGAGACTAAAGAGAGCCTAGGAAAGAGAGAAGGACAGAAAGCCAAGACCTAATGATAAGGGGCCCAGATGTAAAGACTGGAATAGAAAGGGGGCACAATCAAAGGGCCCAGTGTGTGTGTGGGGGGGGCAGAGCCAGGCTATGGGAGATGGGCAACAGAAGAGTCAAGGGAAATGAGAACCCAGTGAATGTCACTGAGCTATAGCTTGTCATGGGTGAATTTTTAAAGAAGCACTTGGTAGAAGATAAGGGAGAAAATTGGATTATAAAGGGATTGGAGGGAAGGATGTGGAAGCTCTGGCTATAACTCCCTCCCCAAGAAAACTGGCAAAAAGGCAAAGAAGAACAAGGATGACAACTAGAAAGGGACTTGGACCAGTTGAAAGGGCCTGCACATGTCTTAAGTCAGAATCAGTGGGTGTAGGAACAGCTATAATAAGGATGAATCAGGTTAGAATACATAATCCACTAAGTATGTGTCTCTTATCAGGAGGAATGAACATTTTCCGTTCCATCTTCTGTCAAATAAGAGGAGACCAGAGACACTAATAAATTACTCCAGGGACCTTGTTAGTATCAGCTGCCTGCACGCTCTTCCTCATTCTCAGCCCACGAAGACCCTTGCAGCTTAAACTCCAGCATACCAGTTGGCAAGGTAACAAACTGCCAGAGGATCCAGGAGAGTACAAGTATTGCCCCCTGAAGCCCTAGTGCCACCCGCTACTAATCTAGAGATTTCTGATGTTTTACCTCCTTTATATACAGAGTTTAAAAGCATTGGAATGCAGGCATGCGGGATGAGGGTTTGGTTGCTCTTGCCAGAACATGTGCGTGCCCATGCAAACACATACATGTAATCTGTTCTCATTTGGAAGGCCAGTTATGAAAGATCATAGTTTGCTGGGTAAGAGATTTTCCCTTCTTTCCCTCCCTACCAGTCTGACCTCATCTGTCTTTTTCAGTGTTATGCAGGATTAGTCTGAGGTTGAGAACAGGTTGAGACACGTCCAACAAAGAGGCTCCGGATACTATAAGAAAAGGGAAGGAAGCCAAGCAGTTTTCAGTCTCTTAAGGCAACTGGAGAGAGAGTAAGGGATTGAAAGGAGGAGTGGGAGACAGCAGGTGGACCGGTGGGGAAGACAGATGTCTGCGATGATTTAGAGAAAAATAGAAGACTTAAATTCAGAGTCAGAAAACAGGAAGAATGTGAGAAGTAGGAAAGGTAATGGACAGAGAACTGCAGTGTATGTGATAAAACACAGCTCATCAGGAGAGAGGGCATTATCCCAGCAAATCCCCTGAAACATGGAAGAAAATGCAAGACTTAAAAAGCTCCACTTGATAGTGAAATAATTTCATGTTAAAACTGTGACACTGATTTATAAAGCAACGTAATTACCGGACCTTTGTCCCAATTTTCTAAAAGGATAAGGTGAGGCCCTAACTTGTTAGTCTTTTCATGCCTAGACCACCCAGAGATAAAACACACGGCCAGAGCTCAAAATTCCTCCAGTCTGTTTGCTTTCGGTTCTAATTAGCTGAAGCTATTTCTAAAACAAACAGATTTGCTCCTCTCCCAGATGTCCTTGCAGCTCTGTCCTCACTGCTATCTGCACTGAGGACCTTTTCCTGACTTCTGTCCAGTTCCTCTCTCTCATTCCTTCTCAGCAGCAGGGGTGAAACTTTTGGCCTCACGACCCCTCCCCGACCCCATCCTGTCAACAGTTCCAAATACTCGTTCAACTTCTTCTTTTGTTTTTTTTGGGTTTTTTTGTCTTTTGTCTTTTCTTCCGGTACCAGGAATCGAACTCACGACCTTGGGCTTGCCAGGCAGGCACTTTGCCGCTGAGCTAAATCCTCAGCCCCTTGTTCAGCTTCTATTATTACCCTTACAGTGCACCTCTTTTCCATTCCTGCTTTCCCTTTCCACTACTATTGTCTTCACTCTTGACTTTAAACACTCATTACTTTGTCTGTTCTCTCCTCTGCCTCAACCCTCTGTTCCCCCAAGCCCTACCTTATAACTAACTACCTTACTCATCTTACGGTATAGTTTTGTGATGTTATCAGTCTCTGACTCAAAGGCCTTTAATGACTTCCCAGATTCTCTATGAGCTTCTTTGCCCGCCAGTCAGCCTTTCTTGCAACCATTATTTGTTGTCTAGTCTATGCTAGGGACTGCGTACAAAAAATAAGTAAGGAATTTGATGTCTGGAGAGGGACAAAAAAACTCAGACTGATCCAGTGTTAGGGAAGAGTTCTTGGGAAGAGGAGGTTATTTCTGTACCAAGTTCCAGTTCAACTGAAACAGGTGGCTGAATGTGCAAAGGCCCTGAGGCCAGAGAGTGAGTAGCAGTTGGATAACACAAGCATTCTATTCTAGTGCTTCAGAGCCTCGGTGTGGAGGGGAGCATGGCCCACAGGACTTAGAGGGGTCAGACTTCAAAAGGCTAGACATGCTATGTTGGGGTTTTGGTTTTATCTTTTAAAATGTGGGGTGCCTGAGGGCTACAGCTCAGTGGGAGAGTGCTTGCCTAGCATGCAGGAGGCCTTGGGTTTGACTCCCAGTACTGAAAAAAATTTTTTAAAAATGCAAGGGAACAGAAAAAGGCCTTCAAGAAGGGTAAAAAGGAGGAAAGACTGGAGGCAAAGGGTAGAGGGATAGTTAGAGATCTGTTCAGTAACCCAGGTGAGAAATTACTGGGCCCATTAGCAGTGGTGGCCCTACCAAGAGATTGCATTTTTCCAGTACTTTGCCTTGTACTGTTATTTGTGTACGTGTTTTTTAACTTCCGGAAATTTCTTACCTCTCCCTTCCCCACCGACTTGTAAACTCTTTGAAGATAAGTGCTGGACCTTAATCTTATCTAGGTAGAGGCCTTTCTGTGCCAGGATCTGTCCTGGTGTCAGCAGAACCAGAGAAAGTGAAAAAATGGGTACTAGCCTAAAAGCAGTAGGCAGGCTGCAGCTCATAAGCCAAAAGAAAGGAATGTGAGGTTTCTTTCACTCCGACCCCACACTTCCTGCAGCCCAGCTGGGTTCCCACTCGTTTCTAAGAAGCAAATTCTGAGTCACCTCTTTCTTCCTAAGCTCCTCTCTACCCGCAAAGAGATTTGGAAGCCCTAGGGTATTGGAGTACAGAGGGTCGCAGCACCCTTTCATTCTTTGTCCTTCCCACAATACTGTACAGACAGAGTAGGGACGCCAATGGCCAAGCCAAGAATCTAGCCAGAATATAACTGTCTGCCTCTCACCCCTGGGACCTTGCTTCCCCTGGGGATGGAATTGCACTTGGAAAGTAGGGAGACAGTAGTGAAATTAGCCCGGGGAAGCTGGGTGGGAGGAGGGCTTGAGGGAAGGCAGACATCCTTTCAAGGCAAGGAGTAGAATCAAATTATTTAAGCTGCTTCTCTGGTTACCAGCTCTTGGCTCTCTTTTTGGTAATTGCTTGTTTACTCACTTCCCAGTTCTCAGAGGCTGTTGGACTTCTGCTGCTCTGGGAGTTGTGGGCTTACCTGACCCCCCTCTCCTCCTCCCACTTCTCCCCTGTATAGAACCCGCTGGGAAGAAACAAAGACCAGAGTTCAAGTCCTAATGAGGTCTCCAGTGAGGCAGAGGTGATAGTCTCTATTCAGTCCGGGGCAGAGGAGAAGCTGAAATCCCTGAGCCAGCCCTTAAATTGGCTGTTGGCTTGGTGCTCAGAATGAGTACTCCTGGGAGGGGGCAGGCCTCTGAAACCTGGTTTCTAGGACAGGGGCTTTAAGTCCAAGTAGCCCTTTTCTGGGCCCATTTCTTCCCCAACCTAAGTCCCTTCCCAGCGAGGATGTTTGAGTGCTGCAATTTAATAAATCCCTGAAAGTCAGGGTGGATTAAAGAGGTGATAAACACAAGTATGCAAATTGTACCCACAAAATCAGAAGATGAGTGAATCCTTCTGACTATAACTGGTAAGAGCTTGCACTACTGCTCCCAAAAGGGGACAGATGTTAGTCCTTTCATTAATTAAGGTCCTTATCTACATTCCTATTGTGAAAGATGATCATGTAGTCTTTTAAGTAATTCTTTGTGCCACTGGAGACCAGAGATTCTGTGAAAACAGTGACTAGGAGTAGGGCCTTGCTGGAAAAAGTCAAAGGTGTACAATTCTTATCTTCTTTTTTTTTTTTTTTTTTGGTTTTTCTCCGGTACCGGGAACTGAACTCACGACCTTGCGCTTGCCAGGCAGGCGCTTTTGCCGCTGAGCTAAATCCCCAGCCCCAATTCTTATCTTCTAATTAGAGCCCATTATCACTTACTTACAAATGGTTAGGACTGTAACAAAGTAACTGTCAGGAGACCTGAGGCCAAGCAAAGATAATTTACTAACAAAGTATCAATGTGAACCTAACTGAAGAATTTACTATTTGCTTTTCCTTAGGGACATTGGTCCTTAAGGATTCTTGGTCTTGTCTCTAAGTTTTGTTTTCCCCTTTGGGGTGCAGGGTGGGGTGCCTTAGAGTCTTTGTCAGGGGAATGAAGAGCCACATCTCCAAGGGCATCTGGGACATCTCTGTCCCTTCCTTCTCTTCACTGTACCCTAATTTCAGCAATACTTGTAGGATCCCCCAGTCCTGTTTTTTCATTCGTTTTCCAGCTGGACTGCCCTCTCCACGTACTTACTGGGCCAGTCAGTCCATGCATACATTTCCGTAATATTTGTTCACAAGTTTCGTTTCCTAAGCAGATCGCACCCTCCCCACCTCTGTGTTGCATTCATCTCCATATTCCAGCCCACAGCCAGTGCTGGCTATGGATGGGGGACTCGAGTCTGGCTTCGGCCTTCACAATGTGCATGACTTTAAGCAAATCACTGAGTCTTTCTGAGCCTTAGCTTCTTGATTTTAAAATAAATCTTGCCAATTCCAACTCACACAGTTTTGAATTAAAAATGAGACAACTGTGGAAGTGCTGAACAAAACGCCAGGTGGTAGAGGTGGTAGGAGGGGAGCTTAGCTCCAAGCAAAGACATATTTGTCTTAGTCCCAGGCTGCCATAATGAAATACCATAGACTGGGTGGTTTAAACAACAGAAATTACTTTCTTATCTGTCTCGAGCAGCGATGGCAAACCTTTTAGAGACCGAGTGGCCAAACTGCAACCCCAAAGCCACTTATTTACTGCCAAGTGCCCAAACTGCAATTAAACCTGAGTGCTGAGGTTTTAGTTTAGAAAAAAACATAAACTCATACATTAACATCTTTGGTCTTAAAAGAAAAACACAGTAATATGTGTGCCATAGGTTCACCAGAACCGGTCTAGAGGCTGGAAGTCTGAGATGAGGGTGCCAGCATGGCTGGGCTTTGGTGAGGGCTCCTCTGGCTTGCAGTAGATCTGTCTCTCCCCTGCGGAGGCCACCATCCTCCCACCCGTGTTACCTCATTTAACATTAGCTATCTCTTGAAGATCTTACCTCCAGATGTGCTGTAGTCATACAGAGGTTAGGGCTTCAACCTATGAATTTGGCAGAACACAATTCAGACATAGCAACATTAAAGGAGATTCATCAGCACATGGAACCCATTATTCCTGCCCCCACGCTCCCCAGCTTGCACGTCTAGAACCTTCCTCCCTCCCTTTTATGTTACTGTATATGAATTATGACTTGTATACCAACTTATTAGCTGTGTCAATAATTACAATGTTTGTACGATATCTCGTGGCTTATGAAGACTGCTCCATACATCACTTAACCTATCTCATAATCACTATTTCACAGATGAGGAAACTGAGACCTACATGATCCAGCCAATCCGTATGCCAAGGTCCTCTAACTCTTTCCATTATACCAAGGTATCTGGCTATCCCCACTTCAAGGAAAACACAGGGCTTCAAGAACTGGCAAACTCTAAACTCAAATTCAAATCCCTCCGCTGTGACCATCTCTGAGAAGCGTCACTTGTATTGGCCCCCATATGAATCCTTTCTCTCTGCTCTGGGATTTTGTGGAGTATTAAAGCAGAAAAAAAATATATGAAATGAGGTAAGATTTTTAGAAGCAAGGATATTTTATGTTCATTTCTTTTCAGATCAATTTCCAAGCATGCTGCACACTCTCTTACTGTATTTCTCTAGGATGATCTAAACACCCAGGTTAAAGGAAGGAGGCACTGTCTGGTTTTCACTACCATTCACTAGGTATTATCTTAGTTTAGATTCTTCCCTGGGGGCTCACATTCTGAACGTCAGGCTGTAGCCTGGATCCTCTGAGAGTTAGTATCAGTGGAACTCTCTCTGGTCTGCTCCCCACCCTCGCCCGACACCCCGCTGCTGGAGACTCTTTTTGGGATCCGCAATACTCCTCACTAAACCACTCAAGAAATGCGCGAGAGCCATGCTCGGCCAACACCTGCCAGCAGGGAGAAAAAGGGACGCTTGTTCACCGCAAGCCGCCCGGGGGCCGGGGTCGGGGGTCCAGGGACCGCTCGGCCCCAGATCCTGAGCGCGGTCCTGGGCTGGAGGGGAGGTTCCCGTCCCCGGCCCTTTCATCTGGCCGCGCAGGCAGGGATCCTGCGCGGAGGGCTCCTCCCTTCCCAGGAGGAAGGGAGGGGATATCCAGGGAGGATTCAAAGGGGCCTGGAGGTCAGGCGAGGCCGGGGAGGCTCCGTGGAGAAAACCGGAGCAGCGACGCGACCCAGCCGCCCGGCTCTCCGCGGAGCTTCCTCCCCGCACCCGCCTTTCCGGCCGCCGGGCGAGGGGGAGGGGAGGCTT